CTGTTTGGGCTCTTCGGGGCCTCTTGGGGCCTCTTGGTGCCTCCTGGGCCCTCTGGAGCCCTCTGAATGTAATTCAAAGTGGGTCCTCCTGGGGGCTCTTGAGATCTCGTGGGCTCTCCCGGGGCCGCCATGGGCCCTCCTGGAGCCCCCGTGGGCCCTCTAAGAAGTCTCTCGCAAGGGCGGCATGATGAAAACAACATCACGCATGGGGGCCTTTCCGTTGAGAAGGGGGGCGCGGTGCAGGGCGGGTCCTCCTGGGGCCCTCCGGAGATCTCCTAGGCACTCCCGAGGCCGCCATGGGCCCTCCTGGAGCCTCTGGGGGCCTCTAAGAAGCCTCTCGCGGGGGCTGAAAAATGACGACAGTTTCACGGATGGGAGCCTTTCCATTGAGAAGGGGAGCGCGGTGAAAGGTAATAAAGTGACGACAGTGTCACACTTGAGGCCCCAAATCGTCCTTGGGCACCTCGGGCGCGAATCCCCTCCCCCATAGTACGGTGCGATTTCCCCTCCCCCCGCTGTCCCGCCGGACCCCGGGAGGGTGATTTTTGTGGTTTTCGCTTGTAAGAAACACTTCCCCCCCTCTCGACGGTGACGGAGGGCAGGCGGCGGGGGTGGGCGGGTTGACGGGGTGGCGGGTTGGCTGGGGTTGCGGGGTGGCTGGTTGGGCTGGTTGAGCCGGTTGAGTTGTTTGGGTGGCTGGTTGGTTGGGCTGGCTGGTTGGGCTGGCTAGGGCAATTGGTTTCGACTACTGCTACGACTACTACTACTACTACTACTACTACTACTACTACTACTACTACTACTACTACTACGACTACTACTACTACTACTACTACTACTACTACTACTACTACTACTACAACTCCTACTACTACTACTACTACTACTACTACTACTACTACTACTACTACTACTACTACTACTACTACTAGTACTACTACAACTACTACGAATTCGACTACGACTACTACTACTACTACTACTACTACTACTACTACTGCTACTACTGTTACTACTACTAACTAATTAACTACGGAACTACTACTACTACTACTACTAACTACTTCTACTACTACTACTAACTACTACCACTACTACCACTACTACTACTACTGCTACTACTCCTCCTCCTCCTACTACTACCTACTACTACTACTGCTACTGACTACTCCTACTACTAAGACTACGACTACTACGACTACTACTGACTAACTACTACTACTACTACGACTATTACTAACTACTACTACACTACTACTACTACTACTACTACTACTACTACTTACAAACTACTAACACTACGACTACTAACCCCTACCGACCACGACCACTACTACTACTACTACTACTACTACTACTACTACTACTGACTACTACTACTACTACTATTACTAACTACTACTATAACTACTACTACTACTTCTACGACTACTACTCGTACTATTCGTATTATTACTATTATTATTATTACTACTACTACGACTCGTACTACTACTACTACTACTACTACTACTACTGCTACTACTACTACTACTACTACTACTACTACTACTACTACTACTACTACTACTACTACGACTACTACGGCTACTACTACTACTACTACTACTACTACTACTACTACTACTACTACTACTATTACTGCTGCTACTACGACTACTACTGTTACTACTTCTGGACTAGAGTACTCTAGCCGGACTACAGTACTATCTGAATACTGCAACGACTCCATCAATCGAGTGCTACTACGACAGTATTATTATTACAGCACTACAGCACCAGGGCACGATTGCCGATCTTGAGCATTACAGTCGTAGAGTACCACTACCCCAGCCAGCATTCGAATAGTATTACTACTACAGTACTAGAGCACCTACCATACCAGAGCCGTTCAAGTCTAATGTATTAGAGTACCTACAATACTACCCCAGCCAGTATCAGAGTACTATACTACAGTTTTGGAGTACCTACACGACTAAAGCACTACCACTACGGTCATAATTAGAGTATTTTCGTTACGGAACAATGGCTTCGTGCAAATCACTAGCGCATTACAACTCATACATATTGTAGTAGTGCTGAGTCTACAGCACTACTGCACTAGCTTTCGAAGTTTTCATTTGCCGGCGAATTGGGGTATAATATTTGAAGGTTGGGTGTTGCTGCTCATGAGACCCCCCCTCGCGCGGCGCCGTCGCAATCGTCATCTATCGCTCCGGGGGGTCACTTAGTCTCGGCCAGAATTTTCATTCGGGGCTGAGGGCGGGTCGATGATTTTGCGCGTTAGTTTTGTTATTCGTGCCTCCCGAGACTGGGGTCCCGCGACGCATTGCCGGGGGTGATCAGCCAGGAAGGAGAGGAGGAGGAAGAGGAGGAGGAGGAGGAGGAGGAGGAGGAGGATAAGATTGAGGAGGAGGAGGAGGAGGAAGAGGAGGAGATTGAGGAGGATACTGAGGAGGAGAGGAGGAGGATATTGAGGAGGAGGAGGAAAAGGAAAAGGAGGAGGAGGAGGATATTGACGAGGAGGAGGAGGAGGAGGAGGAGGAGGAGGAGGAGGGGGAGGAGGAGGAGGAGGAGGAGGAGGGTTAAGGGGAGGGGAGGGGGACAAGCTAGGTGCGCTCGCGTCATATCTGACATCCTACCCCTCCATCCCATCCCTTACCATGGCGCAGATCCCCTCTCTACTCGCTCAGTCGGATGTCGATCAGGGCAATGACCCGAAAGGGTACGCGATGCATTGGAGAGCACGGCGTGGCATGGCGTAGAAGAGCACCGCACAGCGTAGTATCAACCTAGCATTGCATTGCATGCCCTGGCATGGCACGGGAAATGACGCCAGCGCTGCAGCGGGAGCACGAGTCGAAACGAGCGGAAGCGCGGAAATGAGGCCAGCGCTGCAGCGGGAGCACGATGCGGAACGAGCGGAAGCACGGAAATAAGGCCAGCCCTGCAGCGGGAGCACGATGCGGAACGAGCGGGGCCCAAAAATGAGGCCGGCGCCTCAGCGAGAGCAGCATTTGGAAAAAAATGCAGGCGAAAACCCAACTCCGGGGAAATTTGTGTGTTAAAAAACAGTACGCGGGGGGGGTCGAGCACTTTCAAACCGTCATCAGGGGAAGAGGGAGAGTAGTATTCATATTGAGTAATTGTGGGGGGGGGCGGAGAACAGGCAGCGACGGGGAGCAGCACGGGCGAGAGGCCAGAAACATGTAGTGCGCCGCGTCGGAGGGTGTGTGGCGCGAGGGTCGCGGCCCCCTCCAGGGAGTGGTGGGTGGCCCTCCTCGGCGCCTCAGAAGCCGTCTAACGATCTGACATCAGTCGGGCGCGCGCCGGGGCCTGGCCCTTTTGGGCCCCGCCCGCGCGCGCCGGCAGCGGCCTCCGCCCGACGACACCTCGCTTGCGCGGAGCGGGAGAATCTTCTTTCCCCATCGCCTCGTCGGCAGTCCCAGGTGTGTTGGCTGAGTTTTTCGTCGCCTGCGAGTGTTGGCGTCCTATCTCATGTCGCAGGAGGTGCGCGCGAAACTTGCGAAGTGCTTTGCTCAAGATCTTGGCGGACATTTGTATGGCTTGTTCGGCGAAGACCACGGAGGAGCATGCTGGATCCTCTTGCCCCGAAAGAGGCACGCGCAACATCGGAACAAATGCACGGGGAATGGGCGTCCGAGCGAGGGCGAGAAGAAGCCTCTGAGAGGCCCCCCCGCCCTCTCAGGGGGCAGCCGCCCGTCGCCCAAGTCATCTGAGGCGCGCCAGCATGCGCGGTTGGTTGGATTGCTCGAGCAGGGGATCGGTTACGGAATTGATTTACCCCGAAATGTATTCTCCCGCCGAGTATGCAGAGAATGAGTATCATGCCCAGTAGATTTACGAACCTTCCACGCACTTCTTCCATATTCGGCAGGGAAATGAATGTTGGAACAAGTCGATTATGCAGTTGATCCCCTCTTCGAACTATGGGCGGGGCGGGGGGGGGGGCAGGCCGTTCGAGGCCCTTGTGTCGGTAGACGCCGCGCCCGCGGCCAGAGAAACGAAGAAGAGGTCAACGCTGGCGCCTTCGGGGCGCGGTCGGACCGACGTATAGGATCGAGGTCGGTTCGGGGAGGGTGTCCTCGTGATCTTCGTGATCGCTACATGTTATTGTGCGTCCTGGGGGAGGGCACCCTCGAACGATCGTAATGCTTGGGGTGTTATGGCTGGTGGAGCGTCTGATGTTTTTGAAGGATGTTTTTCTGTCGTTGGTCCAATTGTATCCAGATTTGGTCACGTTCCAAATGCATATTCGAGCTGATGCAAGGTGTTATGAAGTATCCCGGCTCCCCACGTCTGCAGCTTCGCGCGCCTCCAGATGGGCACTCGCTCGGGATGCAGTGCCCCGTTCTCGGGTGGAGCTGCGCAAAGGGATGAGGATGAGGAGGAGGTGGAGGAGGAGGAGGAAGATGAGGAGGGGGAGAGGAGGCGTAAGAGAAAAACGAATATGATGATGATGGTGATGATGGTGATGATAATTATGAGGATGATGTTGTTGGTGATGATGATGCTGATGATGACGATGATGACGAACATGATGATGCTGATGATGATGATGGTGATGATGGTGATGCAAATGTGCAAAATGTTAAGGACTTCGTGGCCCATCGCATGGCGGGGACACGGCAATGGAAGCGGGGTTGAGAACTGACAGTGACAGAGATCAGCGATCGAGGCGCCATTTGTTACTTTCGTTTCTTCGTCCTTCTCGCCCACCTCCCCCCAATCTCTCGCCTCGCTTCCCTACTGGTACGTGGCCGGTCCAGTGTTTCTGTCCACCAGAGGTGCACATAAGATTACGCACACACACACACACACACTCACGGTGGTGGTGCTTTCGGCACTCCTATGTTATGACAGTGTCGCCGGCAGGGCGAAAGGAACGCGCTTCAAGCATGGGTGAAGGTGGGAAAGACGGGCCAGGGGATGTAAGCGTTTGCGAACCACACTGACAACAAACTCCTTGCGCCCGCCAGCGCGACGCCTACGGCGGCGCCGCGCTGCTGGCGACCATCGTGCTGTGCGGTTCCCTCCGCTTCCACTGGCAGCGCGGCGGGAACGCAAAGACGAGGTTTCTCGTAGGGCACCTCGGAGGCGCACTGAGAGCAGCGTGACCTGGACATCCGACGATTTATAGGTTCTCGTGATATGGCCCCCCTCCTCCTCCTCCTCCTCCTCTTCCTCCTCCTCCTCCTCCTCCTCCTCTTCTTTCTCTTCCTCATCCTCTTCCTCCTCCTCTTCCTCCTCCTCCTCCTCCTCCTCCTCCTCCTCTTGTTCCTTCTCTTCCTCCTCCTCCTCCTCCTCGGCCTCTGGACCCCACCCTGCAGACCGGTTTTTCGTCGTCCCGTATCGCTTGTGGCGGTCCCAGGGCCTGGGATTTGCTTCCAGAAGCCCCTGAAAACAGCCTCCTAAATGTGTTTGTTGCCTCGCTAGGGTCTGAGGGGGAGGCATCGAGAGAAGTCTGGTACCCCGAGGTCTCAGTGCCGCTGTGCATTGCGGGATCCGGCGATTCTTCTGCCCGCTTCGTTGCCCATGGTCAGCTGGCCCTCCCCCTCCCTCCCCTCCCCTCCCCTACCCTCCCCTACCTTGAAAAATGCTTCAAGCTTCCAAGCTGGCGGTTCGACTTCCATGTTCATTCTGGGAACTTTGTACAACCTTTCTGGACGTCGGTTGAAGCATGTTCTTCTGGAGATTTTTTGGGCCAGGGGCAGGAGGAGGGTAGAGGAGGATGAGGAGCATGGAGGGAGGGGAAGAGGGGCCCGACCCCCGGCAGGCGAGGGAAGAGGGCACCCCCCATGCCATATGCCTGTGAGTCCAAATGCAAGGGATGCTGGTTCCTGCGCTTGTTGGTGGCACCTCGGGGGGGGGGGGGGAACTGGGCAGCAGAAGTGGGCGAGGACGAGGAGAGGAGGGGTGGGGCAGTGGGCGGAGCAGGAGGGAAGGATGGGCTTGCCAACTGCCAGAAATGACCGCGAAAGTCACCGGGAAGGAAAAGGCTGATGATGATGATGATGATGATGATGATGATGATGATGATGATGATGATGATGATGATGATGATGATGATGTCGATGATGATGATGATGATGATGATGATGATGATGATGATGATGATGATGATGATGCTGCTGGTTGTGATCATGATACTGATGATGACGACGAGATGATATGATGATGACGATGATCGTGATGGTGATGGTGGTGATGATGCTGATGATGATGGTGATGGTGATGCTGATGCTGCTGATGCTGATGCTGATTATGATGGCGATGCTGATGCTGATGCTGATGCTGCTGATGATGATGATGATGATGGTCATTGTGATGACAATGCTGATGATGCTGATGATGATCATGCTGATGATGCTGATGATGAAGCTGATGATGCTGCTAAGGATGAGGATGAGGATGAGGATGGTCATGGTGCTGCTGATGATGATTATGATGATGCTGACAATGATGATGAGGACGATGTTGATGACGAGGACGATGATGATGATGATATCGATGCTGATGATGCTGATACTGATGGCGATGTTGATGCTGATGGTCATGCTGATGGTTATAATGATGATACTGCTGATGCTGATGCTGATAATGAAGATGCTGATGCTGATGATGATGACGATGCTGCTGCTGCTGAGGATGCTGATTATGAAGATGATGCTGATGATGATACCGATGATGACGAGTATAATGATTATTATGATGATGGCGACGATGATGACGATGCTGATGCTGATGACGATGATGACGATGATGATGATGAGGAGGAGGAGGAGGAGGAGGAAAGGGATGCCGCTGCTTCTTCTATTCCTCCTCCGCCTCCTCTTTTGTCCCCCAACACCTCCCTTCCTTTTGATTCAGGTCATGCCCGTGCTTGAGGCAGAGATTGCAGGGATGGGCGGGGGAGGCAGGGGAGGGGAGGTTACAGGCTTGCATCTTACTCGTGGGCACGCTCGAGTTCAGAGACTGGGGAGATGGGGAGGCAGGGATTGCGAAGGAAGCAGGGACCCAGGGCCCCAAACCTCCAAGAAGCATAGGTATTAATTCGAATATCCATTGTTGCGAATACCGACCTTCAGAGTGAAGCTTCAGACCTCCACTTGGGAACGTTCTGGATCTTCTCTGGAGGGAGTACCTCCCCTCTCCTTCTCTTCTGCCCTCCTCCTCCTCCGCCTGCTCCTCCTCCTCCTCCTCATCCTTCCTCGTCCAACTGCCTTCCTCCTGCTATGGACTCCGGCCTCCTCCCTCCCTCCCTCATCTTCCCCCCCCCTGCTCTCCCCCTGCCCTCCCCCTCCCCTCCCCTCCCCTCCCCTCTTCTCCCCTCCCTCCTCCTTCCTCCGAACAAAAACTCCTCCCCATCCCTGTCATTCCGAAATCGCATTTTACGCTAATTGAAGCGAGTGCTATTACGCACTTCACTCGCACGACTGACCTCGGCACTTTAGTACATCCTCCTCGTCCCTCGTCTTTCTGCTCCTCCCTTTCCTCGCTCCTTCTCATCCTCCTCCTCTTCCTCCTCCTTCTCCTTTTTTTTTTCCCTCTTTCTCATCCTCCTCCTCCTCCACCTCCTCCTCCTGGACGTGCGGCGAACTTACTTTGACTGGAATCGTAGCGTCAGGCCTCTTCCTCCTCCTTCTCGTCCTCCTCCTTCTCATCCATCGGCCACGCTCCTCCTCGTCCTCCTCCTCCTCCTCCTCCTCCTCCTCCTCCTCCTCCCCTCCTCCTCCCCCTCCTCCTCTCCTCCTCCTCCTCCCCTCCTCCTCCTCCTCCTCACTCCTCCTCCTCCTCCTCCTCCCTCCTCCTCCTCCTCCTCCTCCCCTCCTCCTCCTCCTCCTTCTCCTCCTCCTCCTCCTCCTCCTCCTTCCTCCTCCTCCTCCTTCCTCCCTCCTCCTCCTCATCCTCCCTCCTCCTTCCTCCTCCTCCTCCTCCTCCTCCTCCTCCTCCTCCTCCTCCTCCTCCCTCCTCCTTCCTCCTCGCTCCCTCCTCAATTGCCTCCCTCCCGCCTCCCAGGCAGCGTCTCGCGGGCGGGCTCGCCCAGGGGAGCCCCTGGCTGACCTCTGCGCTCCACGCCGCGACCCTGGCCGTGCCCATCGCCCTCTGCCTGCTGGCGGGGTGGGCGCGGCGGCGACGTCGTCGGCGGCGGCGACGGCGGCGACGACGACGGCAACATCAGCATCAGCATCAGCATCAGCATCAGCATCAGCATCAGCATCAGCATCAGCATCAGCATCAGCATCATCATCATCATCATCATCATCATCATCATCATCATCATCATCATCATCATCGTCATCATCATAAACAATACCATCAACATCATCGGCCAGAGGACTCAGGACTTGGTGTCCGCGACACAATCCCACCTGGGGATTAGTGCCGGGGGTGTGCACAGCGCCGAGACGCGATGCAGGCCAGTGGGCCAGAGGAGAGATGGGAGTGGGGGGGGATGGGCCGGAGGGAGGAAGAGGAGGAGGAGGAGCAGGAGGAGGAGGTGGATGAGGAGGGGATGGAGGTGGGGGAGGGGGAGGAAGTGGAGGAGGGCGGCGAGGAGGAGGAAGAGGAGGAGGAGGAGGAGGAAGAGGGGGAGGAGGAGGAGGATGGATGGATCAGCATCAATGGAACCCCGGCTGGCGGCTGCATGCAGAGGAGGGAGTCGGGGGTCAGTGCAAACGGGGGTCAGCCAGAGCGCTGGATCCTGATCCATCAGAGGCAGGGGCGCACTGGCCCAGGCTTGGGTGCAGGATCCTGCAGGATCTTGAAGGATCCTTCGCATTGACACGGGTTTGGGTGCAGGATCTGGCAGGATCTGGCAGGATTCTGCAAGGCCTGACTGACCCGGGTTTGGATTGACCCGGGTCAGAAGACCTCCGAGGGAGGGAGTGAGGGACGGAGGCAAAGGAAGAGGCGGAGGAGGAGGAGGAGGATGAGGGAGAGGCGGAAGAAGGAGGAGGAGGAGATGAAGGAGGAGAGGGAGGAGATGGAGGAGAGGAGGAGGAGGAGGAGGAGGAGGAGAGGCAACGAGGAGGAGGAGGAGGAGGGAGGTGGGGGAGGGGGAGGAAGTGGAGGAGGGCGGCGCGGAGGAGGTAGAGGAGGGGGAGGAGCGAGGAGGAGGAGGAGGAGGAGGAGAAGGAGGAGGAGGAGGAGGAGGAGGAGGAAGAGGGACGGAGGAGGAGGAAGAGGAGGAGGAGGAGGAGGATAAAGCAGGAGGATGATCAGGAGGAGGAATATGAGTGGGAGAGGGAGAGGGAGGGAGGGAGGGTCTGAGGATAGAGATAGCAGGGAGGCAAGCTAGGCGCGCCAGCGCCATACCATGCCACATCTGACATCCTACTCCTCCCACCCCTGCCTTCCCATTGCGCTGAATTATATTACATCCGTGGGGTGGTCTTGATGAGCTTGATCCCCAACATGACCCCTTGGGGTGATCCGCAATTAGACAAGATCAGACAAAGGGCCTTGTACATAGGAGGTGGAAGAGGAGGAGGAAGGAGGAGAAGGTGGTGGATGAGCAGGAGGAAGAGGATAATGAGCAATGATGATGAGCAACGAGGAGGAGGAAGAGGCGGATGAGGAGGCGGATGATGATGATGATGATGATGATGATGATGATGATGATGATGATGCTGATGCTGATGCTGATGCTGATGATGATGATGATGATGATGATGATGATGATGATGATGATGATGATGATGATGATGGTGGTGGTGGTGGTGGTGATGATGATGATGATGATGATGATGAGGAGGAGGAGGAGGAGGAGGAGGAGGATCAGCTGCAGCAGCGGGCAGGATCGTTAGGAAGATCAGGAGGATCAAATGGAGGCGGAGGCGGGAAAAGGAAGGGGGCGGCACCGACGAGGAAAGAATCGGATTCGCAAATGTGGCCCGCGATGGCGCGAGAGCGCCGTTGTCAACAACAGCAGCAAAGCACCGATCTTGAAGTGTGGCTAAGGATGTAGCGCGAGCGCCATGTTTGAATGGCCAAGGAAGGTCCGACCTGACAAAAAAACGCATGAAAGAGGAGATGCGGACGCAAACCAGCGCATTGTCAGGGGCGACAGGGGAGTAGTGCTCACTTCGTGTGTCTGTGTACGGACGGAGAGGGTTGGAGGGACAGGAAGGAGTTCAGGGAGGGAGGGACGGGCGGGAGAGAGGAGGGGAGATCGCATTAGTTCGCATAGAGAGTCCGTCCAAGCCCGCGGGATGCATACTCCCGCCGGGCCTCCTGGGCACCTTTCGGGGCCGTCCTGGGGCGCCCTTGGGAGCCTCGGGGGCCATCTTTGGGCCGTCTTGGAGGAGATCGATCAAAAGAGGGGGGCTCCTTAGTTAGCGCCCCCCCTCTGATGGCCAACTTGTGGCGTCGCGCCCCCCCCCCATCCCCCCCCAGACCCAGTGGGAGGGGGTAGGGGGAGGGGTCAAGACACCCTCCTAGGTAGCAAGACGTCTAGCTCACTCCCGCCCGCCCTCTCAACACATAAGGACGCCCGAGCCTCAGCATGTTCAGCGGTCGTCTTTGGACGGACAGCTACTGGGAACCAAAACCGACACCATGTGCGCGACGCTGGGGCGAGGTGCGCTACGCGTGCTCGGCGCGCCACGCGCGCCAGGCACCCCTGGGGCCCGAGCGTGCCAGGCACGCCTGGTGCGCCAGATGTGCTACGTGCTCCACGTGCGCCAGGTGTACCGCATACTCCAGCCGCGCCAGGTTCACTACGTTCGGGGCACGTGCAGAGTATATCAGGTGCGCCTGCGCACGTGACAGCACACATCGGGAAACATGTCGGCCCCCACCATCCTTCTCGAAAACCAATGCCCATCATGGTGTTTGGTGGGCCTGCACACAGCCTGCCATGCGCCACCACCCCCGCCGTCCATGTCAGAAACCACTTGACAGCGATCGCGGGGTGGCCGCGCACGATCCAGATTTAGCAGCGAGGTGCATTCTGTATTGTTCCCAACCATCCTGTGATGTTGGGTCCTCGTTTTGAAGAGGCGGTCCCCGCGTCACCTTCTTCCGCCCTCCTCCCCCTCCTCGTGCCACCGCCCGCATGCGTCACCCACGCACATTCTGGTACACCCTCACACGTTTCGTGGCCCCACATGGAGCTCCACAGAAGGCCCCATTGCCACCGCCTGCATGCGTCATCCACACCCATTTCGCCACACCCCTCACACGTTTCGTGGCCCCATGGGGAGCTCCACCGAAGGCCCCAGCGCCACCGCCCGCATGCGTCACCCACGCACATTCCAGCACACCCCTCAGGCCCCAGTGCCATCGCCCGCATGCGTCACCCACACCTATTTCGTCACACCCCTCACACGCTTCGTGGCCCCATAGGGAGCTCCAACGAAGGCCCCGGTGCCACCGCCCGCATGCGTCACCCACGCCCATTCCAGGACACCCATCACGCGCTTCGTGGCCACATTGGGAGCTCCACCGAAGGCCCCTGTGCCACCGCCCGCATGCGTCACCCACACACATTTCTGCTCACGCGTTTCGTGGCCCCATCGGGAGCTCCACCGAAGGCCCCAGCGCCACCGCCCGCATGCGTCACCCACGCACATTCGGGCACACCCCTCACGCGCTTCGTGGCCCCATAGGGAGCTCCACCGAAGGCCCCAGTGCCACCGCCCGCATGCGTCATCCACACCAATTTCGCCACACCCCTCACACGTCTCGTGGCTCTATAGGGAGCTCCAACGAAGGCCCTGGAGCCATCGCCCGCATGCGTCACCCACGCCCATTCCAGCACACCCCTCACGCGTTTCGTGGCCCCATAGGGAGCTCCACCGAAGGCGCCCGTGCCACCGCCCGCATGCGTCACCCACACCTATTTCGTCACACGCCTCACACTTTTCGTGGCCCCATAGGGAGGGAGCTCCACCGAAGGCCCCAGTGCCACCGCCCGCATGCGTCACCCACGCACGTTTCGGCACATCACGCGTACCGTGGCCCCATAGGGAGCTCCACCGAAGGCGCCAGTGGCTGCGTTCCCATGCGCCCGCCCACCGCATCCATTTCGGCACGGCCCCAGTGGCTGCGTTCGCATGCGTCACCCGCATCTATTTCGGCACACTTCTCACGCGTTTCGTGGCCCCATAGGGAATTCCACCGACGGCCCAAGTGGCTGCTTTCGCATGCGCCCACCGGACACATTTTGGCACACTCCTTACACGTTTCGTGGCCCTATAAGGAGCTCCTCCGAATGCGGTGCATATAACGACGGTACTCACAACTACATATGGTTGGGTCCTTCGCCTCGCTAATTTTTTGACAGGGATGGTGGCCCTGTGCACAGCAGGCAATATGCCAACACCCCCGCCGGCCCTGTTAAAAAACCATACAAAGTGCCCGCGGGCCTCACGAACATGATCCAATACTTCACCTCAGTGTATTTTGTATTGTTTTTGTTGACAGGGATGGTCCAGGAGGGGGACGCGATGGGAGGACGCTGTTCCGCGTTTTGCAACATCGGTGCAGGCTTGCGCGCAGCCAAGGACACACTCGGCCACAGAGCACCCCGCACTTGTAAGGTGCCTGCGCTTACGTAACTGACTGCTTCATTTTCCTTCCTCTACTCCTCCGCCCGGCTCCATTTTGCAGAACGGCCGCTCCTGCTCTGCTGGTCGGTGCTCCCTTGGGCGGCGATTCCGTCTCCACTTGCTCCACGTTCCTCTTGAGCGCATGCTCTTCCTGCGTGGCTGCGCCTCCATTCGGCGGCGAGCCCGGGGGGGAAGTGAGAAGGGGAGGGCCTTTTCAGAAGGCTCGGAAGTCCCCAGCCTTGTCAGAAGTTTTCTGCGCCTTCTCCGAAGACACAAAAATCTCTCAGATGGCTGGAGGGCTTCTGAGAAGGCCTTCTCCTTCTTCTTTCCCCCTCGCTCGCCGCCGATCCATCTATGCTCACCGACCTGCGCAGCATGCCGCCTGGATTTGCAGCGGAGCCGGGGGCTCGAGCAGGAGGAGGAGGAGGAGGAGGAGGAGGAGGAGGAGGAGGAGGAGGAGGAGGAGGAGGAGGAGGAGGAGGAGGGAGGAGGAGGAGGAGGAGGAGGAGCGAGGAGCGAGGAGCGAGGAGCGAGGAGAGGAGGAGGAGGAGAGGAGGAGACGGAGGAGGAGGAGGAGGAGGAGGAGGAGGAGGAGGAGGAGGAGGAGAGTAGGGAGAGATGGAGGAGGAGGAGGAGGAGGAGGAGGAGGAAACGGAGGAGGAGGATGTGGAGGAAGAGGAGGAGGAGGAGGAGACGGAGGAGGAGGAGGAGGAGGAGGAGGAGGAGGAGGAGGAGGAGGAGCGAGGAGGAGGAGGATGACGACGATGAGCGAGGATGAGCGAGGATGGAGTGAGGAGGAGGAGGAGGAGGAGGAGGAGGAGGAGGAGGAGGACCGAGGATGGAGGAGGAGCGAGGATGGGGCGAGCGAGGCCACGGTGTACAACAGCTACATGTGCATCGGGGAGGAGTGCATTATGCCCGCCGAGGTCGGCGTTCCTTGTCCTCCTCTGCCGTCCCCGCTTGCGCGAAGAACCTGGAGCCTCCCGAGTTGAAGGTCTGACCCTCCTTCTGGAGGGTGACATCCAGCCTGGAGGGCGAAACCGATCGCATTGTGCATGTTTGTGGCCGTCTGGGTTCTCCTCCTCCCCCCTGATCGAGAGCAAACTGAACGTGCGAATTACCGAGAGCGTGAGTGCACAATGTAGGGTTCACCAGAGCTGTGCACAGTGTCTCTTTCTTCTCCTCCTCCTCCTCCTCCTCCTCCTCCTCCTCCTCCTTGCTACGTTAAGACAGCCTGAAGTGAACATCGGTGGCGTTCTTCCTCCTCCTCCTCCTCCTCCTCCTCCTCTTCCTCCTCCTCCCCCTCTTCCTCCTCCGTAGCCGTTTTGGCTCAAGATGTCCACTTCTTTGGGGGTGAAGTCGACACCGCTGTTCCGCGGTCAGATCTCTGTTTTCTGTGAGTTCCTATCGGAGCATCATGTGCTCACTTTCTCGGCAGACAGGGCGATTGGTAAATTGAGGCATTTCCTGTTTCTGCTGTCCTATCAGCCACAAGGCGCATGTCAGATGCCGCCAGACGCAACAGGAAGAAGGCGGCGAAGGACTGCAATGGTATTCCTGGTTCTCGCGGCTCTTCCTTTTCTGATCGCAGTTCTGGCCAAGATGATGCACCAGCACGTGACTATCGCTGCAGATCTGGCCATGGCTCGGCCTCCGAAGACAGTGACGACGGAATGTGCCCAAATTCCACGGACCCAAACATGCGCGGTCTCATCGACGAAACGCTCTCCTCCAAGTTTTCCGAGTTCAAGGACGGCCTCAGCGAGCTATAGCCAGGTCATGGCAGGTCAGGCCAGGGCCGCTTCAGACGCATCGTGTCTGCCCTTCAAGCCGTCAATGTGGCAGCGGCGCGCCAAGAGATCCCGGACCCGTGCAGAAACCATGTTGAGATGCCCACCAAGTTGACATCGACTCCATCGAACGTCGTTTCCAAGCCCAGATCGACCCCATCTCCGTGCGCGTTGACTTCCTGACCTCGCCAGGATGATCGACGACATGCGTGCCTCCATGGACCATCAGATGCAGAACGAGCTCGCCATGGCCCATCGAGCTCCACCCCCGCCGCGCATGGGTGCGACCTTTTTCAACAGGGATCTGGATGGATCGATCCTCAAAGTGGTGGCCCCTATTATGGTACGCAAGATTGATGCGGCTGCCTCCACCGAGGCGCGGCTCAAGACCGCTGACATCACGGGGTGGTGCAGTGGGTGGCGGGAAATTGAACAACACCCGTTCAGTGCATTATTCTTGCGCAACTGGCATCGCTGGCACAAGATTTCAGAAGGCACTATCGGCTCGCCGCCTTCCTGGCAGGTCAACAGGCCAGTTTGTTTCCCGTGCTTTTCCTGTGCCTGCCGCCTGTTGGGGCTCCACGCAACTACATGTTGGTTCTGACAAGAGCCCTTCCCAAGTCTAAATGGAAATCACAAGCAGGGAAATCACGAATCTCTTCCGCGAGCACTACCGTGGATGGACAACCAACGCGAATCTTATTCGTGACGGTGGAATTTCGCCATTCAGAGTCCGCGGGTTCCAAGCTGGGTGCGATCGGCGGCCGCCGTCGAGCAAATCGAACAGTAACGCGGGCCAGGAGGGGTTTTTTAGAGCCCCAACGCTGCGATTTGGTGTCGCGTTAATTTCTGATATTCATGGAATTCTGAACACAAGTTCTTCTTCGATTGACAGAATGCTTGGGTCTCGGAAAGTTGGGGCCTTATTGTGCGGCTGGAGCCACAGCCGGGACGTGACCCCCCACTGTGCGATTCCATCATGGCGCTGCGCTTGCGCGGCGAGGATGGTCCAGGGAGCGCAGTTTCTGCAGATCTTCAAGTATGCAATCGAGCTGGGCGCGGCGCCAGAGCGGTCACTGTAGCGACTTCGATTGGTTCTTCTTGCGCGAGGTCGAAGGTGGGCGCCCCCCAAAGCCAGAAGCGATCGCTTTCGTCACTTGGAATGCCCGTGTCTCCTTCGGTTTCGCGGACTGATGGCAGCGCAGAAAGCCCCCAACTTCGCGAGGCGGGCATCTCCAGCCCGATCCCTGCCATCCAGGAAGTGCGCGAAGACATTGACGAGCTCGGAATCCTCATGAAAATGGCTGTTCCTGACTCTCACGTGTTCGGGCCCCTTGAGGAAGTGAGGGAAGGTCGCGATCGCGGCGGGGTAGCCGCGGTAGTTCCCACCCCGCCGTCGGCCTCAGCATCCCCCTCGGCGTCTGACCCAGTTTCGGGGAGAGTCTCAGGGGCAGTTCTGCGGCAGGACATGGCGGAGATTCGACGTTGCAGTGCGCGTGATCATGGTTTGACAGCAGGACAGGTCTTGGCAGTGCGCGGTCATATTCAGGGGGGTCTTGCGCGGGCGAGAGGCGATCGCATTTTCAGATGGGCGGTTCTCCGACGTTTTCAATTGGTTGATGCTGACCATTTGTGCCCAGCCAAGCCTGAACGAGCTCGCCCTGGCAATCCGGCGGACGTGGCCAGGACGGCCGCAGAAATGGTGAGCCACGCACGGTCAGATGCGGTCGCCGGGGAGGAGCCCACCCAATTCCGCGGCGATTCCAAGACTCCTGCCCGCCGCTGAGTTTCGGGACCAGGCTGGGCGTCTCGTCTGTCCTCTCACTCCGTCGCCGCCGTTGACATGCCGGAGCTTCTCAGAGAGGGAGACCTTCGATCGCGCCGCCGTTCGTCTTGTCCTTCAGCATCCATGCTGCGAAAGTGCGGCGGCAACGCTTGCTCTGGGACAGATTCACGAGAGGCTGGATTTGAGAACAAAGCTGGGCGCGTTCATCGCAACTGGCAACGATTATTTGACCTCTCTCTTACCTCCGAGGCTGCAAAGGAGATGCGGTTTCATGTCTCTGGCTGCTTCCGACGCGATGAGCACGGTGTGGGACAAACTTGATTCGCTTGAATCCCAAATCGCATTCGCTTGTCAAGCTGTGGGATCCATCTGGCGCCAGGACGCCCCTCTCGCGCTCGAGGCGTGCAACTCTTCGGGCGCTGCGCGCGAACGCATTGAAGCCAATGGCCAGAAGGTGCATTTGGTCGACCCAGCAGCCTCGACTGAGACGACCGACGCTCCTGCCGCGGCAGCCGAGCTTAAAGAGCCCCAGGCAGCCAGATACGCTGGCACGGGGAAGGATCGGCCGTCTTTGGGGACGACCTCAGGACTGCAGGGGAAGGCTCAGATCTGGGCAGCGTCGGCCAAACGTCTCGCTCTCCGCGCAATCAAGGTCGGCGAGCAGGTCGTCTTCTCGGCGGAGGACAAGCTGTTTGCTTTTCTCGAGTATTAGGAACCAGTCTCTGCTCTGAGCCCTGCCTCTGCTGATGCGCGCCGCGGCAAGTCTGCGCAGGCGCGCAACTTCGACGACCTACGGCGTCCTCCTCGCCGCGCGCTCGAGGCAGTTCTCGAACGGCTGGCGCCTGCGTTCTCGGCCCCCGGGGCGGATGGGCCTTCCTGCGCGGCCCTGGCTGCCCGCGAGTTCGGCGCTCAGGTCCCTTGGCCTGTTTGCAATTTGATGGCGGCAGGATGAGAATTAGGAGAGAGAGTGATCCACCGCCGCTTTACTGTGGAAGATTCCCCCCCTCTTCCTCCAGAACCCGGGTTCTCCCCCCCCACCACCCTCCGAAAATCCCCCCCCCCCGCCCCTCCCCTCCCCCGGCAAACCCCCCCCTCCTCCCCTGCCCCCCCCCCCCCCCTCCCTTTCGGAAACCGAGGGGGGTCGTTGCCGGTTCGAACCCCCCTCTCGAAAACCGGAGGGGGGGTCACTACTGGTTCGAAAACCCCCCCCCGCAGCCAGCAATCGACTCCCGGTCCCTGCCACCGCCCGCGCCACATCCCCCACTGTCGTTCCCAGCGCCACTGTCCTCACCACCACTGTCCCCGCTGGTTCCACCACCGTCCCTACTGTCCCCACCGGTGCCCCCACCACTGTCGCACTGTCCCCACTGTCCCCACCACTGTTTCCACCGCGGTTCCACTCCCCCCACTTTCTCCACGGTCCCAACCACTGCCCGACTATCCCCACTGTCCCCACTGTCCCACTGACTCCTCCGCTGTCCCACTGAGCTGCCCCACTGTTCCCGCCACTGTCCCCGCTGCCCCCGCCGCTGCCCCCGCTGTACCTCTGCCCCATTGCCCCGCCGCCGCCCTCGCCACCGCCTTCGCCACTGTCCCCGCTACCACTGCGCCCTCCACTGTCCCATTGTTTCCACCGCATTCCCATTGTCCCCACACCGCTGTCCCCACCACCACCGTCCCCACCACTGCCCCCGCTGTTCCCACCATTGTTTTCACCACTGTCCCCACCACTACCGCCCCCACCAGTGTCCCACTGCCCCCGCCACTGCCCCGCCGCCCCCTCACCATTGCCCCCGCCATCACCGCCCCCACCGCTGCCCGCGCCCCCTCCCGGTTTTCGAGGGGGGGGAGGTTCGAGCCGGTAGTGCCCCCCCCCCCCCCCCCCTCTTTTCATGATGGACTGGGGGGGGGGGAGGGGTTCGAACCCGCAGTGGCCCCCCCCCGGTTTTCCGAATGAGGGGGGGTTCGAACCGGTAGTGAACCCCCCTGGTTTTCCGCCAGCAGCGGTAGAACACGCTCTTTCATCCTTAGGCATCGCGTCTTGCGTCGAGCTTCAAGCATTGCCGCGCGAAGGCTGTGCGCGGGCACCAACGAGGATGACTGCGGAAGCTAGGCCGCCAGATGCAGCCCGCGCGCTCGGCCAGCGCGAGGCGGACATGAAGGTCATCTGCCGCTGTCATCCTTGCGCTGTTCCCGATAATCAAGCAGACGACCTCTGCGACGCAGCGTGGCTTGGCTTTTGAGGGCCAGTTTGCATCCAGCATCCCTGGACTGGACTCGCTAGCGAGGGCGGCGTCCGTGCGTCCCCTGGACCTGCGCGAAGCACCCGCTGCTCGTGGCACTGGATTATGGGCATGCCGCCCCCTGTCTGAATCAGGATTACATGCAAGCTGTTATTCGTCGCCCCCAGCTCCCATCGGCATCCTCTTCTGCGACTCGGTGCGCGCGCGGTGCCTTCATTGCCGTCGGCAGCGCTGGCTGCCTTATCGTGGAGATGCCTCGGATTAGCAGTGGAAGCATTTAACGGCGCGCGCTGGCTGGCAGTTCTTCTTGCCGCGGCGACGTTGCCGTTTTTGGAAGACTTGGGCGTTGGCGTCGATCCTGAGCGCTAGGTGCTCTTTAGGCTTGTGTTGATGACGTTGGCGGTATCCGCCCTGGCGCCGCGGGCCTAAAATCCCTTGCAAGAGTCACGGCGGTCGTGGAACAATTTGCGAACATCGCGCTCGAGCTAGCAACGTGCGCGGTGGTCCCGCTTGCTTGCGCCGCCTCGATCGAGGTGGCAGCTGAAATCAGAAACGCCTTCATGTCTCTGGCACCGCAATGGGCCTCTCTCCGCACATCGAGCCACAGCTTCTGCACCTTGGCTCATGGCCTGGCCCTGCTGTTCTCCCTTGCGCCATGGCCGAGCCCACGGGCCAAGTGGACCGGCATGGTCTCCGCGCTTGCAGGGTCGGCATCGCCTCCAGAGATCAACGCGCCCAACTGCGCAGAGCTTCCCCGACGCTGAACCACGTGGCCCAGTTTCTCCCTATTCCGAAAGCACACATCACGATGGACATGCGCGTGCTGGTCAAGATCCTCCGTCTACCTGGCTGGGCGTTTTTCTACGTCTTGGTAGTTGGGGTGGCCCTGAGCCTCGATCTCTCGAAAGTATGGCGCGTTCTTCAGTGGTCTCTGCGACATGTAGTCGCCCTGAACACGCGACGCCACTGGGCGCCTTGGGCGGGGCGGTCGCTAGGTGGGTTGATCTCAGATCGTTGCGGGACTTGGCTGGGGATTCCCACCTTTCGCAATGACAGTCAGAAGCTTTGCGAAGCACTTTGACTCGGCCATGATGTCCTCGTGCCCCGATGCCAAAGCAGGGAGGCAGCTCGTCTTCGACTACCCGCTCGCCGGGAAGGGTGCCCAGCGATCTGCTGGCCCCGTTGTTTTCAAGGACCAGATTGGCAAGAGCGCCTCAAAGGTCTCCGGCGAGCCGCCGCCGATCATCGACGCTTTCATCAGACGTTGGGCGAAGCGGTTGCCAGATCACATGGGGCATCTTCAGGGCCTCAATTGGGGGCGGTGCAAACGGCCGCGCGTAAACTATTTGTTGATTGGGCGTTCGGCGCGATCAGAACTTGGCGGGGCGGTCGACTGACCTCGCGCAGGTTCTCGACGCAGGACGGGCCCACGAAGCGCATTTTTGTTTGCGCGGAACAGATTGTGGGCGCAGAGTTCTGGCATCCGCTACCTCGATGGCGAAGTCTGGCGGGGGGGCGCCATTGCCTGCGGGCCCGCCCTTGAGGTGGGGCTGGCGGATGCGGTGGCGCAAGGGCCCGTGAATGCCCGGCCTGCGAGCGCGGCTTGTGATGAGTTCAGACGCGTGTCATGCCTCCAACGCTTCGTCTGGCGACTCCGCGCAGCGCTCTCAGGTCTCGCAGGTCGATTGCCCAACATCTCGGGCAGTCCCCAGCTGAAGAGCCAGAGGGTGAGGGTTCGTCCGCCATCTGCGCGCGCGCCCCCAGAGAACTAGCGCTGCCCTTCCTCGTGCTGATGAGCCAGACTGTCAGGATTGCGCGGAGCTGAAAGGGGCGCTCGCCCGTTTGGCCAGCGAATGCCACTCCCCCAGAGTCCTGCGTCAGGACGAGGACATCGACGACCGCGATGTCTGGTTGGATTGGCGCATTCATTCGCCAAAGCCCAGCTGCGTCGCGCCCGGCGCGAACGCATGCCCCCCGGGCGGACAGCGACTCCCGCGCCGACATCTCGGCGACCCCCCGGCGACCATTGCAGCCGAGCTCTGCTGGGGGGCGCGGCAGCGGGGGGCTCGAGGGGGGAGCGCTCGTCGCAGGGCCGCGTGCCGTGACTAGTGAACTGAGGGCGAACGAGCTTGCGCGGCGTCGCGTCTCGTCTGGTCAGCTCAATACTTGGCGCCCTCAAGGTGGTGACTTCCCCCGGAGGCCGTTGAAGGCGAGCTGCAAGATGTCCCGGCAGCTGTTGCAGGAAGCGCGCCCCCCCCCAAATTGCGCGCAGCCATCGCAGACGCGGCCGCCCCCGAGTTCCTCCTCGAGGACGAGCTCCGCTGCTGATGGTGCGGACTCCTTCTTATAGGCGGAGTGCCCACTCTCATCCGTCGGATCGGTCTCCCAGAGCTCTTCCAAGCTTCTGCCGCCTTTCGGTGCTAGCCCTGTTCGCGCTGAGTTTGGCGCCGCTTGGCTACTGTGCTTGCGCCGCGACAGTGGGCTGCTTCTCTGGCATCGCGGGGGCGCCCAGGGGGCAGACTCCTCCTGGCCAGAGCGGTCAGCTGGGCACCCATTTGGGTACCTAAATTGCTCGACATGTTGCCAGGCAAGAGTGATTGCTAATGTGGTTGGATTCGTCGATCCCAGTTTTTGTCAAGGCATTGAGTGCCGAGCACTTTCGTCTCTCTCTTTGGCCATCGGGGGCGCTTGTCCCTCGCGGGCTCGCAGTGGCCAGGGATATCGCTTTATGCGCGAGGTGCTTCGCAGAGCAATGCAGACCGCGTCGCTCTATGCATCTGTCGCATGACGCCGACGATGCTCTGTGACCGAGGAGCTTCGGAAGCGGTAAGAGTTTCTGATCACATGGAGGGCTACGCGGAGCAGTCCTTTATGAGAGAAGGCGAGGTCTGGCAGAACAGAGATGATTGGACTGACTGCGGCGTTTACTATGTTGCGATGGTTCCCGATTCCCCTCGCCTCCATCGCGTGCCTGCGACGATTCGCGATTCGCCGTGGCCACTCGCGCGCGATCTATGGGGGGCCATCTGGGCGCGCACTGGCATGCCACACAGACGTCTCATGGAGACAATGGCCAACCTTCGCCCTGGGCCCTGGCAGCGCGCAGCAGACCTTCACCACCAAGTTTTTCCCAAGCGAGGCGCGACCACATGCAGATCAGAAGTTTGCCCAACCTGTCGAGAGCACTTTTTGCCTGCAGCGTCGAGGACACTGCGTCCTGAGCTTCAGCCACCTCCAAGTGCAAATGTGGCTCGTCTCCCCGCTCCCCGCCAGGGTCTCCACTCAGGCGGCTCCGCGATCCAGGTGCACCAAGGGCCCCACCACCTACGGAAGCATACCTTGAATGGCTGAATTACTGGGTGACAGCGCAGAAGTTCTTCACCCCCCTGCTCACGGCGAAGATGACGGGTGCAATGTCCGACGAGGAGTACGACTACCATCTCAGCAGCATTGCAACGGCGAACATGAACAGCAGCACTGCAGATGTGGCGCCGTGGCCAGCAGGCAGCTCACGTGAACCAGCTCCACAACTCCCAGTCAGCGCTCCTGTCTCGGTCGTGCCACTTGATGTGCGTCTCACTGGCGTGGAGGATGGCAGCCCCGCAGGTGCTAGTCTCGGAGCTGGCGATGCTGTGCCCCCTCGTGTCGTTCCAGCTGTTGATGTCAAATATGAGACCCCCGACGTGCACCCCATCGCGGCCTAGTCTTCTCTTCCACCTCTTGTGCAACTTGATGGTCTCCCATCTTGCGCCCCGCCTGGTCGGAGTCCTGGCGCTCTGAGTGAAATTGGTGTTGGAGAATCTGAGCAGCGCAGCTGCAACTTCACTTGGAGCCTGAATGGTGGCCACGGCCGCACTCCTCTCCCGCCTACAGCTGGCTCTGATACCGACGGCGATGGCGATGGCGCGCTTCCCTCTCTTGGCTTCTGGCAATGGCAGTCCACGCGTGGCGCGGAATGGCACCTCCAGCACGCGGATAATGGAAGTCCCGACCGACTAGGGTGATGATTCCCCGCTGGCGGACATGAAGGACATGCATGTTGAGCTCTTGACTCAAGCCAGCAATGCAGACGGCATGGAAGCCCTGGCAGAAATTATGGACCAGCATGCAGGGGCTCTCGCTCTGGCTGAGGGTGCTGATGGCAGCGTCACTACCCCAAGTGTTGACATACTGGAGCGTCTTGACCTTGATGCGGCGAGCTCGCCCTCCGAGTACTTCAACCACCTTGACGGCGTCAACCGCAATGACTCTGGACAGTACCCAGCTCATGGCGACAGGTCCCCTGGCCCACACGATCGCATCGACCAAAGAGAGACGCATGCGCCGAGCTAGGTGACAAAGCGCTTCAGATTCACGCATACGACGCAATGACGGCTGCGGAGCTCGGCGATCCCATTCACCTCCTCGGCGTTGGCTCGGCACCCGCTGGTCCCTCGCAGCCATCTTGCCCAAGAGAGGCAATCGGATCTCCTCACGATGGAGAAGATGAAGCATCTGATTTCCCTGAACCTGATGTTCCGCCCCTCTCCCCACCGTTCCTGAACTCGTCGGGGGATGGGCCATGCGCTCTACCCCTTTCGGACCAGCTTAACCCGTGCATGTAGATGGTCCTGGCTGGAGACGACGAGGGCGCCTCTGTTCTTGATGCGCTAGGTATGCATGCCGAAATGCTGGAGAGTACTGAGGCGTATGGTTCTCAGTTTGGGGAAGAGGCTACAGAAGAGGACTGTCTGTCCGACGATCTCGTGCAGGATATGGCGTCTGTTGTACCTTCTTCACTTCCTGACTACATCAGTGTCGCTCAGAAGCTGGGCGAAGGCTGGCAAACCCGTGGCTGCTAAAGCGAAGCTTTGGGAAGCCGTGTTTTTTCTTCCTGGCAGCAGCTTGTTTACTACTCAGCGCGCTGAGCTTCACTATGGGAAGTTATGTTTTCTTCCGGGATGGCTGTTACCAGGTATTTTTTGGGGCGGAGGGCAAAGGGTGAAGTCCTGAAGTGCCGTTTCGATTGGTTCTCGAGGCTTGAATCCGCACAAGGCGAATCACAAGACGGATCTATTTTCGAGGTGCAGAAACCCGTATGGACTTCACCCTGAGCCCTCCACCCGAAAATCATGCTCAGGTTTTAGCAGCCACGGATTTGCCGGCCCTCGCCCAGTTTCCGAGTCGCCGTCGCCGCCTCGTCGGGCGATGGCTTTGAGGAGGAGGAGGAGGAGGAGGAGGAGGAGGAGGAGGAGGAGGAGGAGGAGGAGGAGGAGGAGGCGTCGCCACCTCGTCGGGCGACGGCTTTGCTGACGTCCTCGGCGGCCCGCAGCAGGCCTGGCTGCTCGGCTCGCCCCCCGACGGCGGGCTCTGCGGGGGCCGCGGGCGGCGCGGGCAGCTCGGTTCAGGCGGGGCGACCGGAGTCCTCCCCTCGAGGCGTGGGCTCCTCCTCCTCCTCCTCCTCCTCCGCCTCCTCCTCATCATCATCATCATCAGCAGCATCATCCTCCTCCTCCTCCTCCTCCTCCTCCTCCTCCTCCTCTCCCTTGTGCTCCTCCTTCTCTTCCTTTTCCTTTTCCTCCTTCTCATTCTCCTCCTCCTCCTCCTCCTCCTTCTCCTCCTCCTCCTCGTCCTCCTCCTCCTCCTCTCCTTTGTGCTCCTCCTCCTCTTCCTTTTCCTCTTCCTCCTCCTCTTCCTCCTCCTCCTCCTTCTCCTCCTCTCCCTTGTGTTCCTCCTCTTCATCTTCCTTTTCCTCCTCATCCTCCTCCTCCTCGTCCTCCTCCTCCTGTTCTCCTCCTCCCGTTCCCCTCTCCTCCGACTACGGCGGCCCCATAATTGCCTCTGATCTCGCCCCGCCTCGCGTGTGCCCCGCCATCCTCCCGAACCGTGTGTTCGTTTCTTCCCCCTCCTCTTCCCGCCGCTCGGAGCCTTGCCCCCGCTCGCCGTGCCGCGCTCGCGCGCGGTGAGAAGTCGATTGCAGCGCCCCTCCCCCAAGACATCCTGGAGAGCCGAAAGCTGCCGCTGGGGAGGTCGAGCTTTCGTCTTGGAGGAAGAGGAATGTACCCACACTGGAGGAAGAGCCCGCTTCCACAACGGGGGCCGAACCTCCCCTTCGATCCGCTGGGACATGGCGGGGACCCCACGCCCTCCATCAGCCCCTGGCCCGGCCCCTCCGCAGCCGCTCTCGCCTCGGCCTCGGGCGCCGCCGCCGCGGGCGCGGGGCCCGCGCGCGCGGGCCGCGGGCGGTGGGTCGCGGCGGCGGCCGCGGCCGAGGGCATGCCACGCGGGGCCGCGCCGCCGCTGCTCTGCCTCTGCCTCGCCGCGGCGCAGCTCCGCAGGGGCCCCAGGGGGGGGCGCCGCGCGTTCCCTGGCGGCGGCTGGGTGGCCGCCGCGGCGGGGCGGCCTCCGTGGCTGTGCGGCGGCCGCTGCGGCGGCGCCAGGGCGGGCGGCCATGCCCGCCGTCCTCTTGCTCGCTGCCGGCACGCCAGCCAGAGCTGCGAGGCGGGGGCGGTCGGCCCGGTGCGGCTCCGCGGGGGGCTGGCGCTGCCGCCGCTGGGGCTCGGCACGGGCAAGCCCAGCATGATCGAGCCAGGCGTGGGCGAGGCGGAGGGCCGGGAGCGGCTCGTCGGCGCGGTGGCCGCGGCAGTGGGCAGCGGCTACCGCCTGGTCGACGCGGCGCTTTACGCTCGCACCGAGGCGGACGTCGTGGCTGGCGTCCGTCACGCTGGCGTGGACCGTTCGGAGGTGGTTGTGGCGACCAAGCTGCTGCAGTCGGCGCACAGGAGCGACGATGCCGTACGCCGCTCCGTGGCGGACTCGTTGCAGAACCTGGGCGCCAACAGCATCGACCTGTACTTCGTGCACAACCCCAGGGCCGGCAGGATCCGGCAGGTGTGGCCTTTGCTCACGGAGCTGCGAAAGCAGGGCCTCGTTCGCGCTCTGGGCGTGTCGAACTTCGGGGTGCAGCAGCTGGAGGGCATGCGGCTCGCGGGGCTCGAGCTGCCCGAGATCAACCAGGTCGAGGTGCACTGCTGGAGACAGATGCCAGAGCTTCTGGAGTACCACAGGCAGCACGGCATCGCCACCATGTGCATGTCGCCGCTCGCCAAGGGCCAGATGTTCAACCGGACGGACCTGGCAAGCATCGCCGAGGAGTTGGGGCAGCCCGAGGCGTCTGTGGCCATCCGCTGGGCGCAGCAGCTGGGGCTGGTGCCGATCCCTCGCTCGCTCCGCGAGCAGCACATCGTTGCCAATGCCGCGACAGGTTTCAGCCTGTCCGCCGACCACATCCGGGTGTTGCTAGAAGTGCCCCTGGCCCCAGGTGCCCCCCAGGATTTCCAGGGAGGCCCCCCCACGGCCTCCAGAGCACCCCTCACGAGGCCCAGAGGGCCCCAGGGACTCCCAGATGGAACGGACAGCCGGGGGCGCCTCGGGCCAGGGGCACCCCTCGCAACCCCCGACGCATGGCCCGGATAGCGAAGCTCGACTCGGGATACGTGGCCAGCCGGGGGGCGACGCCCGCCCACGCGCTGCCTTGGGAGCTCGTCGCGGACAGCGTTCCGGACAAGGCCCTGTGGGACGAGAGCAAGAAGCGCAAGGCCGAGAAGGCCGCGCGGAAGGCGAAGCAGAAGGTCGAGTGGGCGAAGCAGGCGTTGGCCAAGCGAGAGCAGCAGATGCGCGCGCGGGAGGCCGTGGCCGCTGAGAGGAGGCTGCGGGCGCAGCTGGACCCCCCGAAAAAGACCCAAGAAAAGCATGCTTGGTGCCCTTTCCGTTGTTGGCGTAAAAGACGCCCATGCGACGATGTTGCGTCGACGGGGCCACCCCAGGGCCCCACGTTTCAAAGTTGCCTTCGCGGCCGACGTGGGAGTGCCATCCATCACCTGCAGAACAAAACGCCCATAACTCCTAGCCCGCAGGCACACTCGTTTTCAACATTGAAATGGGGGCCGCGGGGGTTCTCAACGCATGGGCGCGGGTGTCTTTGTCTGGTGGGCGTCGTTTACGCCAACGGCAGCTCGGTCAGGCAGGCCCAGGATGGAAGTGCGCATGTTTTTCCAGAGCGTTCCGGAATTCGCTGGAACGGCCGCGGCGCCCGACACGCCTTCCGGGCCCGACGGTTCTCAGGGATCCCGACTGTCATCTATACCCGATGTTATCGTTGTCCTGCCTTCGCCGTGTTCTTTAATCTTCGTCCTCTCCGCGTCCCTCTCTGAGCCGTTGCCTCTGTACTCGGCGAGGAAGCTTCAAGCCGTGGCGACGCGTCCTGGCTTGCCTATAGGCCCACCACAGAACGAACGTTCTAAGAACCTTTTATGGTCTGCACGGAATGTTATGAGAACATGTTTTGTTGAGACCGTCTTGTTTTAGCACATCGGGTCTATGTTCTGAGAACACTGCCTTTGTTCTCAGAACATCTCTGGGGTCCTAGGACCTCTAGGACCTGCCGGGACGGTCGGTCCCTGCCCAGCCCATCCCTCCCTGAGCCGCTGCCTCTGCACTCGGCGAGGAAGCTGGCGTCTGGCTCGGGCCGGGGTCCCTGGGCATCTTCGCCCCTGGGCGACCGCTCTGCGCGCGATGATGGGGCCGCGCCGCTGCCCCTGCCGTGCGTGCGCGCTGCTCGCGGGCCCCACGCTTCTCTCGGCACAGCGGGCCAGCCGCCGGGTCGAGTGGAGGCCCCTGCCAAGAAACACCCCGCTCGCCTCCAGGGTGCCCCGGGTTTCTCTTGGGTTTCGAGGGTTTTGCGATGAAAAGCGTGACCTTCCCACACCAAAAGTAAAGGCACGCCCTGAGGTCTCAGGGTTGGGTTTCTTGTGGAAGGTTCCTTGTGGACTGGTCTCACCTGCAGTTCATGCGTAGGAGCATCCATCCAGAGGTTCTCATTACGCCACGGCTGCCCGAGATGATCCTACGCCGCCTGTGATCACCACAGCCGGCAAGACGGCGGCAAAAGATTCCGGTCCTTCCCAGGGGCTTTGGGGAAGCTTCATACACGGCTCGTAACCCTCGTGACCGCCCTTGCGTGCGTGTGTATGTGTGTGTGTGTGGGTGTGCGTGCGTGCGTGCGTGTGTGTGTGGGTGCTTGTGTGTGTGTGTGTGCGTGTGTGAGCGTGTGAGTGTGTGTGTGCCCGTGTGCGTGTATGTGTGAGTGTGTGTGCGCGTGTGTGTGTTGGGAGGGGGAGGGAGAGAGGATCATGATGTGGTCCAATTACTTCGAGCGTGTCCCGCCTTTGGGGCTCGTTGACCGTCGATTCCCCTGGGGCTTCACGGAGCCCCCAGGGGCAGCCGAGGAGCCTGCAGGATCCGCCGGGGTTTCCGAGCCCCCTCGTTTGCTTTCCTGGTTCCCCCGCAGGGGCGCGAAGGTGATCAAGCCTCGCAGCCTGAGGCCAGAGAGCGGAGGCGCTGTGGGGGGCGCGGGGGCGCGCGATTGAGGCCGCCCGCCGAGAGGTAATTGAAAAAGCCGTTGATTGCTGGAAATCCTGGTCTGCTACCAAAGTTGGGCGCCACAAAGCCATGCGCCTCTCTTGTCCGCCACCAGGCGCCGTGGTGGACCTCCGAGATGTGTGCCGCCAGGAGCGGGTCTCGGCACTCGAGCCGGGCTCTTCGATGGTCTCTGGGTCCCTCGGGAAGTCCAAGACGAGGTCTTGTAGCACCGCTTTTTCGCAAAACAAAAGGAACAGAGAACACAGGTCGATGGATGCCAGGATGTTGCTGCGGCGTCTGTACGCCTTGGCCTGCAACAGGGCTGGACCTGAACGCTGTTCTGCTGGATTTCGGCTTTGTTTTGTTCTTCGCTTTGGGAGGGAGGTGCAGGAAAACAGGCAGAGCAAAACGAGCACGCAAAACGAAGACCAAAAATATAACGAAACACGAAACGCTCAGGTCCAGCCCTGGCCTGCGGGTTTGCTGAGGACTCTGTGTGTGGGCGGCGTGGTGCGTGCCCGTGCCCGGCCTGCCTCCGCACTGCGTCTGCTCCAGGGCCGCCTGGCGTGTGCTCGCCCGCCTGGTCCCAAGGACTGTGTGCGGATGTCTCCGAGGCGGGAATTCTACGCACGACCACCGCCCAGGGGGTCAGTTTTCAGAGCCTCGGCAGGCGGTGGACATGGACATAATTCGGGCCCCCGGGGGCCGAAATGTACCCATATCCACCGCCCGCTGAGGCACCAGGACGTCGGTTCCCAGGCGGTGGATATGGATAAATCCCCGCCTCGCAATGTCTGGCTGTGAATCCCAGGAGTACAGTTCGAAGAAGAGAAAACGCCATAGACCAAACTTTTTAGCGCTCCGCGCGGATTTCTTAGATCCGCGTTGAGCCCCCCCCCCCGGCGGCGTCGGCGCGCCAGGGAGGGGGGTGTCGCGCAGAGCCAAGAAATCCGCGCGGAGCGCCAACAGTTTCTGTTTATGGCGTTTTTTTTGTCCCCTAACAGTGGAGCCCCCTGCCAAGAAACACCCTGCTCGCCTCCAGGGTGCCATGGGTTTCTCTTGGGTTTCGAGGGTTTTGCGATGAAAAGCGTGACCTTCCCACACCAAAAATAAAGGCACGCCCTGAGGTCTCAGGGTTGGGTTTCTTGTGGAAGGTACCTTGTGGACTGGCCTCCACTGTATCTGACTGTAGTCTGCTTTTTTGTTTCATACGTCATCACTTTGTTTCTGCTGACCTCCCTTGGAAAGGAGTGGCTCCCTGACGAACAACAACTGTTGGACCAGGCAAGGGTGGGCCAATCTGACTGCATGCTGAGGCGCACATCTGTTCAGGAGGAGGAGGAGGAGGAGGAGGAGGAGGAGGAGGAGGAGGAGGAGGAGGGGGAGGTCGAGGAGGAGGAGGAGGAGGAGGGGAGGGGGAGGTCGAGGAGGAGGAGGAGGAGGAGAGGAGGAGGAGGGGAGGGGGAGGGGGGGGGGAGGGGAGGAGGAGGAGGAGGAGGAGGAGGAGGAGGAGGAGGAGGGGCCCCCCAGCCTTTTTTTATCCCTGGGAGCGGCCGCGCAGAGCCCGCCGGCATCTCTCGTGGTGGGGATCGAGTCGAAATTACGCTCGCGCGGGACGGCACGCCCGAGTGCTCCGCCGTGAGCGAAGCTTCCTGTCTGCAGACGGCAGCTTTACACCACCACCGTGCCTGGTCAGGACCAACCTGGGCCCCACTTATGGTGTATACGCTCTCCTGGCATCGGCCAGGAGGGCGTATACACGATGCCAGGGCCCAGGCTGGCCCTGGCAAGCCACGGGTGGTGGTGTATAGATGCCTTCTGCGTATTCTGGCACAGTTTCGCCTCGCCCCTGTGGCCCCGCGAGTGCCCTCAGCCCCGAGCCGTCGGAGCGGAGCACAGTGGTGCGCGTGCGCGCTGTCGGAGGGTCCAGCCTGGCGGCAGGTCGTCCGGTACTCGGCCATGGCTGCCTTCACCGGCTGCTTCGCTGGCCTCGTCGGCGTCCCCCCCTCCCCCGTGCGCGCGTGCGAGAGGGGGGCGGAGGAGGGGGAGGCGGAGAGGTAGGGGCAAACCAGGTGCGCTCGCGCCTCATCAGGCATCCTATCCCTCCCTGCCGCCCCTTCCCAGGGCGCTGATGTTTTTTTCGATCCGCGGACGCGTGCCATAGTCGACACGGCTCCAACAAAAAGGACCCCGTCGTGCTGTCCGCAGTCGGAGAAGGGGAGTTGCGTGCATAGGAGGAGGAGGAGGAGGAGGAGGAGGAGGAGGAGGAGGAGGAGGAGGAGGAGGAGGAGGGCCTTAGGAGGAGGTGGGGGAGGAGGAGCTCTTGCCCAAGCTTTGCCCTTGCCGTGGCGGGCAGCTTGGGCAGGCAGCTTCAATGTAGCAGCTAGCCAGTCTGATGGTGTTGGAGCCTTCCTGCTTGGCGTAGCAGGGGAACAGGAGATTGGCTTGATCATTATAATGCAGCCACTGCCACGTGTGCCCCAGGGAGAATTTCTAAACTTTTCAGCTCAGCGTGCGCCTTCGAGGGATTCACGCTGGTTCGACGGTTGCCCTTGCCCTCCATTGTTCGGAGATGCATCATGCGTGGTCGAAGTCGCCCGACACAGACGCGACTCTCAGGTGGCTCCGGTCATCTCGGTCGGATTTTTGTTCCTATTGCAAGCCGCCACAGCCGTGAACATGTGTTTTTCATTTTCGAGTCGAGGCGGTGGCGATCTCCCGTAGCCCTGGGTCGCCAGAGCCACGGAGCGACTGGACCGCATTGCAGGTCAGGGACTCCCATTTGCGGCCACAGATGTTGTACTCATGCCGCCCCCGATGCCACCCTTCCTCCTTCAGTGCGACGAGGAGAAGGGGCAGCAGTGGCAGGAGGGGAGCAGCAGCAGGAGGAGGATGACGAGCAAGTGCAGGGGGAGGAGGACGATGAGGAACCTGGGGGCGGCGGCGAGGGAGGAAGAGCAGGAGCAGGAGCAAGGACTAAGAGTCAACGCTCACGTAGTAAAGGGCGCGCGCCTTTTCCGGGGTACCCTTGTGCCCCTGCCTCTGCGGCCTGTCCCGTTTCCACTGGCCAGCCTCTCAGGGTACCATTTCGGCGGGCGTCAACTCTCGGCTGCGCGGCGGGGCGCTCCTCTGGGGGGCAGTTCTCAGGACGCGGGCTGCACTCAGGCCGTCCTTCGGCGCGTCGCCGTCGTCCTCGCCCGTGGCTCAATCTGCGGGCGGGCGTGGCCCCAGGGACGCTGGCCAAGCAGGGCTCCCGTGGCCGTCCTTGGGCGCGCCGCCGCTGCCCTCGGTCGCTTTCTTCCTTCGCGGGCGCGCGACGCCTTGAGGACGTGGGTCTCAGTGGGTCTCTTGTACGTTGCGCACTACACAGGGGAGGCGTAGGGAGCACGAGCGCACCAACTCATGTGGAGGCCTAGAATGCAAGTGACATTTTTTTTCGCAACCCGTTTTCGGGTGACCCACCCGCCGGTGGGTCACTTGTGCGTTGCTCGCAACACAGGGGAAGCGTATGGAGAACGATTGCACCAAGCCATGTTGAGGCCCAGACTGCACATGAAATAATCTGTATTTCTCAACAAGTTTCCTGGTGACACACCCGCCGGCGGGTCACTTGTGCGTTGCGCGCAACACAGGGGAAGCGAAGGAGGACGACTGCATCAACGCACGTTGAGGCCCAGCATGCAAGTGAAACCATTTGTTTGTCTCAGCCCGTTTTCGTGTGACCCACCCGCTGATGGGTCTCCTGTGCGTCGCGTGCTACACAAGAGAAGCGCATGGAGCACGATTGCACCAACTCATGTTGTGGCCAAACATGCTGACACAACTGCTTTGTCTCAACCAGCTTTCGGGTGACCCACCCGCTGGTGGGTCACCTGTTCGCTGCGCGCTACACAGGAGAAGCGTATGGAGCACGATTGCACCAACTTCTGTTGAGGCCCAGAAAGCAAGTGGCACAATGGGGTGTTTTCAGAAAGTTTTTCGAGTGACCCACCCGCTGGTGGGACACCTGTGCGCTGTTCGCTACATTGGGGAAGCGTGGGGAATACCACTGCACCAACTCATGTTGAGGCCCAGAAAACAAGTGAAACGCTTGGTTTCCCTCAACCAATTCTCGGGTGACCCACCCGCTGGTGGGTCACTTGTGCGTTGCGCGCAACACAGGGTGCGCGTATTGAACACGACTGCACTAAACTCAGTCGAGGCCCAGAATACAAGTGGCACGCGTGGTTTTTGTCGGCCAGTTTTCGGGTGACCCACCCGCTCGCTGGTGGGTCACCTGTGCGCTGCGCGCTACAAAGGGAAACGAATGCAATACGAGTGCACCAAGTCATGTTGAGGCCCAGAATACAAGTGACACAAGTGGGTTTTCTCAACCAGCTTTCGGGTGACCCACCCGCTGGTGGGTCGCCTGTGCGTTGCGTGCAAGCGCGCGGAATCAAATGCACCAAGTGAGGTTGTGGCCCCGAATGCAAGTGAAACAAGCGGGTTTTGTCAACCGGCTTTCGGGTGACCCACTCGCTGGTGGGTCATTTGTGCGTCGCGCGCCCAACAGGGGACGCAACAGGGGACGCGTATGGAGCACGGTTGCACGAATTCCTGTTGAGGCCCAGAATGCAAGTGAAACAAGTCGTTTTCGTCGGCCAGTTTTCGGGTGACCCACCCGCTGGTGGGTCACTTGTGCGCTGCGCGCTACACAGGGGGAAACATATGGAGCACGTTGGCCGAGCTAGACTGCCTTGGCCGTCCTTGGGCGCGCCCCCGCTGCCATCGGTCGCGTCCTCCTGCGCGGGCGGACGCTGCCTTGGGACGCGGGCCAGGCACGGTTCCCTTGGCCGCCCTTGGGCGCGCCGCCCCCTCCTTTGGCCGTTGCCTCCTTCGCGGGCGGACGTGGCCGTCAGGGCGCGGGGCAGGCAGGGGCCCCATTGCGCGTCCTTGCGCCCGCAGCGTGCGCCTGCAGTTGCCCACCCAGCAGTTGCCCTTTGATTTTGGCGCCGTGCCCTGGGGGACGCGCGTATTTTGAGGATGCCCCTGCGTCCTTGCGTTGTGTTTGCGTTGGGCCCTGGCGGCGCCAGTTCGGCAAGGACTTGGGCGGGTCAGGGTACCACCACTAGCGAGACCCCAATAGAAAGCGACTTTGGGTTTTTCTGGCCGCGCCGTCGTCGGTTCACTTTCGGCAACGGGAACTAACGGGTCGGGCGACCGCGCCGTCGTCAGAATTCCCATTCCCAACCCCTCCTCTTCGCTGCAATATCCCCGCAGTTCCACAGGTGGCGGTCGTCAGTTTTTTGTGACCCTTTCTTAGTGGTGAGGGAGGTGTTTCTGTCAGTTTTGCGACCCACTCCATTCATTTGTTCCTGGTGAGTCCACGTCGTCGGTTCTGACGGTTCTTGGGTTTGATATGAATGATTCCCCCGTGATAGGTTACTTTTGCGTCCCTGGGGTTTTGGTCGCCCACCGCAAAAACAACAATTTCGGCGTACAAGGGTCTTGCGTCCTTACCATCTGATTCTGAGCAGGAGCCAGCAGGAGGAGCAAGGGAATCAGGATGATGACGACGAGCATTATACCAACAATGCAAATGTTCAGAAGAGTTGGACAAATAGGAAGAAGAGGATCTGGAGGAGGAGCATGACCATGATGAGGAGGAAGAGGATTCGGAGGGGGATGTCGAGAAAGAGGGACGAGGGAGAGGAGGAGGAGGAGGAGGAGGAGGAGGAGGAGGAGGAGAAGAAGGAGGAGGAGGTGGGTGACGAAGGGGAGCAGGACAAGGATGACGAAGGGAAGGAGGAGGAGGAGGAGGGCGCGGAGGGCGCGGATGAGGATGAGAAGGAGGAGGACCACTGTAAACCCAAAGCGCGTCAACCATGTTGCAATAAACCCTAAGTGCCTCAAAATTCCCTCTTCACAGGTCTCTACTATAGTTTGTGCTACTCACGGGAACTTCCACATTCAATGACAACCGTCTAAGAGTCCTCAATCGTGCCAAAGCACAATTCCTGGGACTTCAACGACATGAAACAGCATGACTGTTACGTCCTGACAGCCGTAAACCGCACCAGGACACCACATGTTGAAAAAGGAACTCCCATCCATGGTCGAAATTGCTGCACATTTTAAAGTCCAATGTGCGCCGCCCTTCAGCGAGAGCCCAATGTTGAAAACCACCCGCCATCAATCCCTGAAGCTGCTGCACACTGTCCAACAGTCTGTACGTGGTGCTAAGGCGAGAGCTACATTCCGAAAGCCACGAACCTTCCATCCTTGAAACTGACACCGTTGTGGTTTGTTTCGACAAGTGGAAGTGATTGGTAAGGAAAGGATGGGGGAGGATGGGGAGGAAGAGGAGGAGGAGGAGGAGGCGGAGGAGGAGGCGGAGGAAGAGAAGGAGGAGGAGGAGGAGGAGGAGGAAGAGGAGGAGAAAGAGGAGGAGGAGCAGGAGGTGGAAGACCAGAGTGACCCCGAGACTTTTCACCGATGCTGCATCACACACACACACACACCCGTCCCAAATCCCTTCCCCACCATTCCCTACAAGCATTATTTTCACCACGCGAAGCGCCCCCTTTAAAAAAGACGAGCGCCTCATGGGCCTGCAGTTTTGGCGGGAGCTTCACTCTGAACAAACTGCCGTCCGCCATTCGAGCTGTAAGGAGAACACATGGCTCATTTCTAAGTGTTCGAAAGTTCTTTGATTATTTTGGGGCCAAGATCCTCTCATTTCTAATTGTTCTATCCTGGGCCACTTCCTGGCCACCAGGGGGGCCAGGAACAATTAGAAACGATCACAACTAGAAATGAACACGATTAGAAATGAACGACGGCGTGTACGATCAGGCGGGGTCGTGCAGTTTCAGGGACGTGCCCAGCGACGGCCCTGCTTTGGAAAGGGACAGCCCTCCATCCGCGCCACTGTTGCACAATGTCGGTCTTCTGATCCGGGCCAGGCCAGGGCGGGGATCTGCGGTTTGCGCCGCGGGCCGCTTCAAGCGCCCCCCGCCCGCCCGTTCCCGTAGGCATCGGCGGCGGCCTGATCTTCAGTGCGCAGGGGGGACGGGGCCGGGCGGTCCCTTCTGCTCTTCCTGCTGCTGCTGCTGCTGCTGGTGCTGCTGCTGCTGCTGCTGCTGGTGCTGCTGCTGCTCCTCCTCCTGCTCCTGCCCCTCCTTCTCCTCCTCCTCCTCCTCCTCCTCCTCCTCCTCCTCCTCCTCCTCCTCCCTCCCTCCCTCCCTCCCCCTCAAACTCCTCCCCCCTCTCTCCCCCTCCAGCTCCTGGTTTCTCTCTTCCTCCTTCTCCTCATTATTCTTCTCCTCCTCCTCCTCCTCCTCCTCCTTCTTATCCCCCTTTTCCTTCTCATCCTTCTCCTCCTTCTTCTCCGCCCCCCTCCTGGCCCTCATTGTCCTCATCATTTGTACTCATTGTCTTCCTCCCTCTTCATCCCACTCCTCATCGTCGTTACCTTCCTCCTCCACCCCCTCCTCTGCCGCCTCCTCATTCTTCCCTTCCCCTTCTTCCTGTTCTCCTCCTCCTCCTTCCCCTTCTCCCTCTCCTCTTCGTCCTCCTCCTCCTCCTCCTCCTCCTCCTCACTCCTTCTCTTCCTCCTCCTCCTCCTCCTGTGCTCCTCCTGCTTGCACTCCTCGTCCTCCTCCTCCTCCTCCTCCCCCTCCTCCATCTCTTTTCCTTATAACTAACCCCTGTCGCACCCCGAGTCAAGTTTTTAGGGCGGGCAGAGCGTTTCGCCTGAGACTTCCTCACCATGTACAACTCTGATGCTAAAAATGGCAGCAGCTTCACAGACGGAGGGCGGGTCGTTTCCAAAATGTGGTTGTCGCCTTGACGCAACGCACATTCGCTTTGACAAATTGAAAGAGTTTCACGGAGTGAGGGCGGGTCGTTTTCAAAATGTGGTTCTCGCCCTAGCGCCGCGCACATTCGTTTTTAACATTTGCAAGAGCTTTACGGATTGAGGGCGACCCGTTGTCAAAATGTGGTTCTCGCCCTAGCGCCGCGCGCATTCGTTTTAAACAAGTGCAAGAGTTTCACGGATTGAGGGCAGGTCGTTGTCAAAATGTGGTTCTCGCTTTAGCGCCGCGCACATTCGTTTAAATGTATTGCAAGGGTTTCACGGATTCCAATGATCAGCGTATCCGAAATGACGCTTGGGAAGGATTCAGGATTGTGAGGGTGCAACAGTTACGTTGGTTTGCGTTGTTGACGTCCCAGGAATGGCGTTCCGGCACGATTCAGGATCCTCACGACGCAACAGTCAAGTTGGTCCGTGGCGATGGAATCCCGAGAACGATGTTTTGGCATGCTTCAGGGTCTTCAGACGGTTGTCTTCCAACGAGGTGGTTCCCTTAGTGAAAATGAACTTTCGTATGTGGCCTATGAAGAGGGAGCTAGGGGAGAGGGCTTATTCCAACATCGTTGATGACTCTTGGCTTTGCACTGGTCCTCCTCCTCTCCCGCTCCTCCTCTCCTCCTGCTTGCCCTCCTCCTCTCCTCCGTATGGCGCCCACCGTGGGACTCGAACCTCCGACAACCAGGTGAAGAGCCTGGCGCTTTACCGACTGAGCTAGACTGGCTGGTGACGGCATTCCGACTTTTTGATGCAGCGATTCCAAGGTGTTCGTCATCTTTGTTCGCCTCCTCCTTCACGTTGTTTTGACCCTGCTCCTCCATATTTCTGCAAGCCATTTCATGGTGTTTCCTTGTATTGCCGTTGTCGTCCTTCTCCTCCTCCTCTTCCTTCTTACCATCATCATCATCATCATCATCATCATCATCATCATCAGCAGCAGCAGCAGCAGCAGCAGCAGCATCAGCATCAGCATCAGCATCAGCATCAGCATCAGCATATCATCATCATCACCATCGTCATCATCATCAGCAGCATCATCATCATCGCCACCATCCTCATCATCAGCATCATCACCAGCAATATCTTGATCATCATCAGCAGCAGCAGCATCATCATCATCATCATCATCAGCATCATCAGCAGCACCATCATCACCATCATCACCACCAGCATCATCATGCTATTCCTCCTACTGCTCCTGACCCTCCCAAATCACCGGGCACGGACGCGCGCGCGGACGCAGCAGAGCCCCCTGACTCGGAGCGGCGGCGGTGGCCCAGCAGCTGCCCGGGCAGCAGCGGCGCGGAGCAGCTGCGGCGCCGAGTGCGACGGCTGCGGCGGCCGCGGCAGCGGCGGCTGACGACGGCGGGCGGCGGAGGTCCCTTCTTCCTGGCCATGGGGCTGGATCCGTCGGTGGCGGTCCGGGGCCCCGCACCGGCCGCTCTGCCGCCGCGGCCTCGCCTCCAGATGTTGGGTCTGGCATGTGGTTTGAATGGAGGCGGGGTATGAGGAGGAGGAGGAGGAGGAGGAGGAGGAGGAGGAGGAGGATGAGGAGGAGGAGGAGGAGGAGGACATTCCTTTGGGACATTCCTTGGCCTCCAAGGCAGCGCATGCCATAGCGGCCACCTTGGATCTTCGACGACATACAAGCATGGGGACGTCTTTGCCCACTCCATGCCGAATTGGGTACCTGCTTTACGCCCTAACTGCGCAGCGGCAGCCAGCGCCAACCTACCTCGTAGGTGCCCCGCTCCATCGCCCCGAAAGCTAGCCAGAGAAAGAGGGGATGGACTCCCCGCGCACACACAATGCCTCGTCCTGAAAGCGTACCGACAGACAAGAACTCAGGGCATGCATGCGTGAAGTGCTCAATGAACTGAAGCGGTTCCGAAGATGGTGAGTCGAGGGCACGCGTGCCCCGCTGAAAAAGGTGGGAGTACGCCACATGGGGCGACTCATGGCAAGCTGACCTACTCAACGCGTGCACGCGCCTTCCCCCCCAAACGGGGGGGTGCCTGACACGCGTGCTACGCCCGCCCGCCACACGTTCTGCGCACGAACGCTGCGCACAGGACGCGTAACAGAACGCTGCCATAGCCTCAGATGGAAGCCTCCTTCGCCTCAGAGCTCTAGGACGAACTGCTCGAAGACGACTTCGAGGACGACTGCTCCGTACTGCAGCTGGCTGTGGAACCCGCGGCCCTGACGAAGCCGCTGGACTGGACCTGAAACTCGGACAGCCTGTGTCGCCTCTCGCCCAAGGCATGCAGCTGCTCCTCGTAGCCCTTCTAGAGAAAACATCTCATTAGCATAAACTTTTGGCGCTCCGCACGGATTTCTTGGATCCGCGCTAGGCCCCCCTCCCTGGCGCGCGGAGCGCGCCAGGGGCGGCGCCCGAGGCGCCGCTGGGGGAGGCCCCAGCGCGGATCTGATAGATCCGCGCGGGGCGTCGAAAGTTTATGTTTATGTGTTTTTGCTCCTCCTCGACCTTCGTCACTTCCCCGTCCAAGTTCGTCTGCTGGTCGACGTTGCTGGACTGGTCCTGGGCACGCTCCGCTCGCCATGGCGCGGCCAGGCATTTGGACCCCCGGATCTTCTCGTGCGGCCGCCTGGCGCTGCGCCCCCCGCGGACGGGAGACGCCGGCGCTGGGCACGCTCTCCGAGGAGGCGGAGGAGGAGGACGGAGGACGGAGGACGGAGGACGAAGTAGAGGAGGAGAAGGAGGAGGAGGAGGAGGAGGACGGAGGACGGAGGAGGAGGAGCAGGAGGAGGAGGAGGAGAAGGAGGAGGAGAAGGTGGAGAAGGAGGAGGACGAGGAGGAGGACGAAGTAGAGGAGGAGGAGGAGGAGGAGGAGGAGGACGGAGGAGGAGGAGGAGGAGGAGGAGGAGGAGGAGGAGGAGGAGGAGGAGAGGAGGAGGAGGAGGAGGAGGAGGAGGAGGAGAGGAGGAGGAGGTGGAGGAGGAGGAGGAGGAGGAGGAGGAGGAGAAGGAAGAGGAGGAGGAGGAGGAAGAGGAGGAGGCGGCGCCCGCAGCGGGCCAGGGGGCGCCGTGGCGCCTGGATCCTGTTCCAGCACCACCGCCTCCTTGGCCGCCTCTGGTGGCCCTCCACCCCCTCCACGGAGGAGCTCGGGCATCGGCTGCGGGTCCCCTCCGAGGCTGCCGGCGTCCCAGTCTTTTCACCCACGGCTTCTCGAGGAAGTGGCGCGTGGGGCTGTGGACCTCCAAGCCGTCGTCGCTGCCCTCGCGGGCTGACGGCTTCTGCAGCCGGTGAGACTCGCGGTGGCCGCTGTGCCAAGACCTGGTCCTGGCAGAGCGGCTCCTCTACTCAGTTTCAGCCGCCACCGGACTACGACCACGCCAGGGTGCACCCGCAAGCTTGCTCGGCGAGTACTTCACGAAGCCCTTCGCCTCGCCCCCCTCCATCTCCGCCTGCGCCCGCAGGGGTGGGGCAGGGGTGGGGGTCACCGAGCCGCAGCGGACAGCATCCCGAGGCGGTATTGCCATTCCCAAGTTGGCCACCCCAGCCGCGGGCAAGCTTCCAGGGCAAGTGGAGCTGCTCGCGGCTGAGGAGGAGGACGAGGAGGAGGAAGAAGAGAAGGAGAAGGAGGAGGAAGAAGAGGAGAAGGAGAAGGAGAAGGAGAAGGAGAAGGAAGAGGAAGCGGAAGAAGAGGAGAAGGAGAAGGAGAAGGAGGATGAGAAGGAGGAGGAGGAGGAAGAGGACGAGGAGGTGGTGGTGAAGTAAGGCGGGTGGGTGGGAGGGAGAAAGGGAGGAGGAGGGGGAGAAGGACGACTACGAGGACGAGGGACGAGGGAGAAAGAGGAGGGGGAGGGAGGAGGAGGAGGAGGAGGAGGAGGAGGGGAGGAGGAGCTGGAGGAAAAACAAGAAAAGGAGAAGGAGAAGCTGGAGGAGGGGGGGAGGAGGAGGAGGGAGGAGGGAGGAGGAGGAGGAGGAGGAGGAGGAGAAGAAGGAGAAGGAGAGAAGGAGAAGGAGAAGGAAGGGAGGACGAGGAGGTGGAGGAGGAGGAGAAGGAGGAGAGGAGGAGGAGGGGAGGAGGAGGAGGAGGAAGGAAGGAAGGAAGGAAGGAAGGAAGGAAGGAAGGCAGGCAGGCAGGAAGGAAGGAAGGAAGGAAGGAAGGGAGGAGGAGGAGGAGGAGGAGGAGGAGGGAGGAGGAGGAGGAGGAGGAGGAGGAGGACGAGGAGGATGAGGGAGGAGGAGGAGGAGGAGGAGGAGGGAGGGAGAGGAGGAGGGAGGAGGAGGAGGGAGGAGGGAGGAGGGAGGAGGGAGGAGGGAGGAGGGAGGAGGGAGGAGGGAGAGGGAGAAGGGAGGAGGGAGGAGGGAGGAGGGAGGAGGGAGGAGGGAGGAGGGAGGAGGGAGGAGGGAGGAGGAGGAGGAGGAGGAGAGGAGGAGGAGGAGGAGGAGGAGGAGGAGGAGGAGGAGGAGGGAGGCTGGAAGGAGGGGGAGAGGTAGTGAAGGAAGGAGGGAGGGGGGAGGCAGAGGGACCTCGAGGGGAGGAGTGAGACAGCCGGGAAAGGAGGAGGGGGTGAATGGAGGGAGGAGGGTGCAATTGAGAGCTGGCCCCAGCCGCGGCCGTGCCTAAACTGTACACCTGCGTTCCAAGATGCGTTCGGAGGAGGCTAGGCCACAAACAACCTCACTGTCAGGGACGAATGGGATTCGCTAGACACCCATGCATCCCTCGTTGGACACTCTTACATCTTCCCTCGCCTCTTGCCCCTGGTGGTGCGACCGTTGGCGCTCCTGTCTGCAAGCACGTGTGCTCTCGCAGTGCTCGTAGGTTGCGTCCTCATGCCGGAGCGCAATGCCAGTTGTGATCAGATCCGATCCTTGTGCTCCTGGTCTTCCTTCTCGTCCTCCTCGCCCTCCTTTTCTGATGCTGGGGGCGGTGCCCTAGGAGGACTGGCATCTTTCTGCCCACATGCACGCGGAGACAGGACGTGCTTGATCGCACCAATATGCCAGAGGTCCACGTTCGCCGCTCTCTTTCGAAGCTAAAGTCAAGTCGCATGGCGTGCGAGTGCAGCAGGTTCGCGCGTCTTGTCGCGGCGGCCACACCCGCGCGGCGTTCAAGGTTTAACGCCTCGTTGATATCGAACGATATGCGCTATCGGAGCTTGAGATTAGTCGAACCACACGTTGTCCGAAACCAACGTGCAAGTCGTGATGACACGAATATGTCGTATGCCTTGGGGAAGTACGCTGACATTCCTGTTGAGGACGCTACTTGTTAACCAGCGGCCCGCGCCACCGAAACACGGTGCGCGCGAGGAGGGAGATGAGATGCTTCTTTGCTCACTCGTCCTCCCCCTCTCCCCTTCTCCTTTCCTCCTGCCGTCTGCGTCTTCTTCTGCTCCCTCTTCTCCCGCGTCTCTCTTCTCCCCATCCCCTCTCCCTCCCTTTTTCCCCTCCCCCCCTCCTTCTCCCTCTTCTCTGCTCCCCCTTCTCCTTCCATCCTCCTCCCTCCTTTCAGCCTTGGATGGGTGGAAGCGTACTGCATCAGAGGGCGACGCCTTCCTCTTCTGCCCCCCCCCCCCCCGCCCCTCTTCGGTCGCGACATCGTCCACGTGCGTGCTGTTCACCTCGTCGTCCACCACCCTCCAGTATGCGCGGGGCTGTCCGCCGGGTGCGCGCCGACCCCCCCCTTTCCAGCATTCTCTGTCGGGGGTCGGCGGCGTGGAGCGGGGGGGGGGTCGCGGGGGGGGGCGGCCTCTTGTGAGCAGCCGCCACGCCTTCCGGGATGCCTTCTCAGAGGTGTCCGAGCCTTTCCGAGGAGCCCCCCCCCATGGCTTCTCAGAAGGATGCTCCCCGCGTGCCACCCCGCCCTTCGCGCCGCCAGCGAGGCCAGGGATCGGAGAAGTGTGGGTCCATGGCAGCGGAAGTCTGGCTCTGAGAATTGACCCGGGATGTTGCCAGGGAGACCACCGCGTCGAGGTTTCAATGGCCTCGGCATGCGAGAGCAAGACATAGCAAGACGTCCGACGGTCAAGAGCGCGCTGCTGCTTCGAAGGGTTCTGTGGCTGCAGGCGGTTGCTCATCACCTCGACCCCTGAGGAGGGGTCGGCGCATCTGCTGACAGGGCGCATCATCATGTCTCTCACGGTGCTCTACGGAGGGGCGGGGATCGCCACAGTAGATGATAGGGGCTGGCTGCTGGGTTACTTGGTCGAGGGCGGCTGAGGACGCAAAGGCCCAGAGGTCTTGCTTGGTAGGCAGTTTGTTCGCCACTAGCTACATTACAGTGGAGACCCATGCCAAGAAACATCCTGCTCGCTTCCAGGGTGCCCTGGGTTTCTTGGGTTTTGATGGTGTTGCTATGGAAAGCGTGACGTTCCCACACCAACAAACAATGGACATCCTGGGGTCTCAGGGTTAGATTTCTTGCGGAAGGTTTCTTGTGGTCGCGCCCCTACTGTACACTTCCCTGGCGAGGGCTCGGCGCCCATTGAGCGAATCCGAGGATCTTAGCACGAAGGGTGCATCTGTGTCCGTGCCGCTGTAGCGTGTCGGACTCGCGCCTTCCGACGTGGCGCGTGCAGAAATATGTCGCGCATGATCCTTGCTGCGCACAGTCGCAATTGTGTGTTGCCCACGGTCTTCAGGAGGAAAAACACACAGAGACACAATGCATCGTCGACTCCCAGGAAATATGCGAAAATATGGGAAGTGGGGGGGAAGACGAAAGTCCAGAAAATAGGGAAAATACGGTATCCTGGGATTTGTGTGTGTATGATTTGTGTGTGTCCTTGGGCCCCTTGAGGTCTGAGAGTGCGTTGGTGTGTATGATAAATGACCAGAGCGCGTCATGTAATATCGGGCTTGGCAAGGTGCATCGCAAGAGAGTGCACACCGAGAGCGCACGCAAGAGTGTCATAATCAAGTCATACGCGGTCCGTCTCTTGATGATGACGATGATTATGGACGGTGGTGGGCAGCATCTGAGCAGGTGTCGTGTCGTTTGAGGGCGGTGAAGGCGCGCTGCGGCGTTTGTGATTGCGGCAGAAGTGGCCCTCATGAAGCCTGGTTTCGCGTAGTTCGCTCCAGCGGGACCCAGTGAGATGAGCAGGGGTAGGCGTCGCGAACCTCATCGCCTCGTACTGCGGGACTTCGCTGGTGCTCCTTCTGAATGAGCGCTTCGCGGGCAGGAAGTCCTACATCTCTGGAATTGTCGCATCGGCCGTGCTCATAAGCACTGGGCTTGTGCTCTCAAAGTTCTTTGCGGCATGAGCGAAGGCAGAGGCCGGCTGCGCAGGCAAGTAGGCCTGCTGGTCGAGCCATTCCCTTCTGCACGAATGCGACGTGGAAGCAGCGAGACGTTGCATCTCCATTTTTCGTTTTCACAGCATGCTTATCTCATGCGCGATGTGCGAGGAGCTTGCGTCCAAAGAGGTACACGAGAGGGTTGGTTCACCACTGTTCCTTCTCAAGATGCTGCTCATCCTGTCGTTTCCCCTCTTTCTACTCCTAGTCCTTGTGCAGGGGTCGCTACTTCAACCAAAAGAGGTGTTTTTACATCGCGAATCAATGTTGATTTTACGAGTTGATAGATCCCACAACAGCTCCAACTCAATTCTAAATTCAACTTCCCATAGTACACGCATAGTCAGTTGAGTCGGCTCTCACACTGAGCTATGCCATCAGGTCTGGAATCAAGTTTACAATCAAGTCGAACATCGATTCCAAATCAAGTCTAAAGCCACCTCGAGACGGCCAGCGGTCAATCGGGGGCGTCGCACCTGCGGGCCAAGCGTACCTGCGGGCCCCGCGACGGCGGCGGTGGCAATGACGCCGCAGGCGGCGGCGTGGTGGCCGCGCGGTGGCCCAAGCTTGCGAGAGAGCCGCAGAGCGCGCCGAATCGCGGGGCCGAGCGTATCTCCGAGCCTTTATTATCGCCCGCGCTTGTCCTGGTCGGGGTCCCTGAGGATTCCGTCTAGGAACCCCGAGGAGTCAGGGTCCAGCCAGGGTCCGGGTCCTTAAGGAACTTCCGTGGACTTTTTTCTCACGAATTGTTCAGAACCCCAAGGAATCTTGAGGAATGCGTTGGAGTCCGTAGGAATCCGAAGGGCTTTTTAGGAATCCGTAAGAACTCTTAGGAATCCTGGGAGAATCTTTGGCAATCTTCCGGAATCCCCAGGGACCCAGCGGTCAGCGCCACCGCGGCCGCGTCGGCAGCGCCAAACTATCTGGCCGCTTCGCGCGCGAGCACGCGCGGGTTAGCGCGGCCGCAAAGATGCACCATCCAATTCCAAGCATTC